AAAAGAGAAGTCAATATCCATGTGTTAAATGAAAAATTATATAGCATTGTCTGATACCATTCTATTGAGATCTGGGACTTTAAATACTTTAAATTTGGGGTTTTTTACCAGCAAACTTTGCCTCCACAGAAATAACTTGGCCTAGATAAAAGCAGCTATATTATCAGAGGCTTTATTACCCTAAATGCTTCTACAGCACAAGCTTTGTCCACAATGCATTCCTCAAGTCCTGGCCCTCAATTTCTTGTTAAAAGATATGTTGCATATTGCCTCGCTATAGTCACAGCATAACCAAGGTGCTATTTGTGTGGAGACTTGAACCTCCACACATACAAAAAGTGCTACACAACAAAGGGGACAAATATGATCATGCAAGAAATTGGTATTATTTCCATCCCTGGCAAACAACGAGAATGCACAAAGCAAAGCACAGGGCTGTATTACAAATGGGCTACTTCAGCGCCACTTATTTTTTTGTCTCCGACCCTCTGAACTGCAGACATTAATGAAACACAAGTGGGACTTTCAAAATCGGATGCCTACCACCAAGTATACATCACCAACAGCAACACACAACCAGCAGCAAGTATTTTGTTCAATAAAGTACTTGACAAACACGCATGCCCTCAAGCCCAAGACTTTACAAATACTTCACTCTTGATGAACGCTCTCCAAATTCAGGGAAGCAAAGGTTATTTACAGAGGCAGCATGAGCATGGCACGTATACAGTAATAAACATGAAGGCTGCTAATTTTCCATTTTCCCCATATGTAGATAGTCAGAAAAGAGCAAAAAGACAAGAGCAGGGGGAAAACGACATACCTTACCAAACCTGAATGTTGGACACAACTTGTTTCAGAGCAACATTGGTGTGAAGGTAAGTTCCTCGGGCGACCACCAACCGCAATTCCTTTCTGAGCTCCCCAGAGGCTCCAGCTCCCCCGTGTCTGTGTCCCTGAGGAAGATGCAGTGTCCTCCAGTATGTCAGAGCCTCAGCTGCAAAAGATGCTGTTCAGAAAAAGGAAAGAGAAGAAGGTGTGGCATTAAATTCTAGGGTCAGTTGTTTGGCAGATTCAGAGCAGAACATAAGACAGCATCAGATAGGAATGAAATGTCAAGGCCGGACAAAGAGTCTGTGACAATCCATCATGCATGGCACCTTCGGAGGGCAATCTTTGAATTCAAGAATTGTGGTGCAAAGCTATTCTTGCTTTACAGTACTTTAATGGCCAGCCCGGCCACTTTTTATTCCAGTCTAATATCGTAATAAGAAGGTAAGTAATACACTTCTCCATAGGGAATATTTGAATTAATTATGGCATTTCTGCAGAATAACAGGACTTTGATATTAAAAGCAGAGACATCAGCTCAGTCTTAATACTTTGCATTGTTAAAATGACTCTCATTCAAGGAATTCAAAGCTCCTAAACAGGCAACCATGTTAGGACCTCAGAGCTGATGGGAAGCAGTGACTGTCAGCCCAACACACAGAAACGCATTCCCGAAGTTCAGTCTCCAAACCAATTGTCAGAGACAGGGAAATGGCCTGAGCTTTTCTGGGAACGTGGGGGCTCGGCATCACTGCGTTTTCTAGCTCTCCGTCACTGCTAGATGCGCTCGGTGTTTCTGAGAGGTCAGACCCTGGCACCAAGCATGGACATAGGAGCCTCACAGCGGACACCCGGGTGAGAAGAGAGTGATGAAGACCACTGCCTGGCAGCAACACTGCCAGCAACCAAAAACCCCAGAAAAGCACCAAGAAGTTCAAACATTCATTACTATCATTTCATTAATCATCCCTCAAACCTGACACATGGGAGAACACTCAAAGGACCATTCTTCCCCCACCCCCACCAACTTTGCCTAGAAATGCAAAAAAAGAGTGAAGAAAAAAAGAAAAAAAAAAAAAAAAAAAAAGACACACAGACATTTATTCCTTAGAGGTCTCCTACACAGGAGAAAGCCTGTGGCAGCGCAAAATACAACAAAATCCCATTACAACTTCACAAAAAATCCTGAACCCCTAAACAGGTTACAGCTATCTGGGAAGCTTTTGGGCTTGCAAGAAGGAAAATTTCAGTAATCAGCATGTAAAACTGTCCATGCCGGAAGCTAGAATCATACTGTTCTCTTTTTTTAATTATTTTTACCAAAAGTCCACATAGGAAGCATGGTCACACAGATCATAACAATCAAATATATTCACTTTATTTAGCACTAATTACTTCACTGGCCCTTGTATAAGTGGACTATGTTACATACCACACCTAAAGGCTCTATAAGTGGAATGGCTCGTGAGATACCCACACAGGAGTCGGGACGGCAGAGCCTAGCCCTGTATTTCTTGGCACACATTTATAGACCTTCTGCCTCTCTTGAACTCAGACATGAAGGACAAAAGTGGACCTTCACAGTTCTTGTCCTCTTTCAGGCTAACCATGAAAAATCTGACTGCCAACTGAAATGGCTGCTGAATGACTTATGGGTATAGAAGTGGCTGATGCTGCAGTAGTTTGATCTGCAGGTAGCAGCAAGACCTAATTCTGCTGCTTTTAAGGGATTTCTATCTCTGGAGACCAGAGTTACAATTACTTTTTCATTTTTGCTCATAAATTGTAATGCAAAATAGTCATGAAGAAAACCAGTGCTACATTTTTGTGCATTAACTACAGCATCAGCTGAGCTGAGAAGCAGAAGTAACAATAATAGATCGTCACTGCAAGCTGAGTGCAGGAGCCTGGTCTCAGGTTGGAAAAGATGTGGTTTTGAAAGCTTCTATTTAGTACAGCTTGCCAATGCTCATCTGAAGCAAATCGCTTTGGTAAGAATTTGGCACGTTGCACTAATACGCTGCTATGCATGCACATAGATTCTGTACCGTCTGAATTCCTGCGCTGCTGGGTGGATCACAAAGCGCAGTACAGGCAGAAGCATGCACTTCCAGCCCTTGGCGAAGACAAAAAAAGCTTCCCTTTCTCCTAACCACTACCTTTACGGCACAGCAGCAGTGAGCTGGAAAATGTTGCTGCCGAGCAGTTGCCTGACCCAGACTGAAACTGTGGAGAACCATGCGCATACAGTAATGTGGGAGAATAGGAAGTAACAGGAGGTATGGACATGGAGGGGAAAACAACTGTGGTCATGACAAAATGCAGTGACTGTGCACCATTCCCATCTCTCTGATACAAGCACTTGTGGGCATCCCTCACCCCCGTGGTGCAGCATAATGAAATGAAATCTGTGGCCAGGATTCCTGCGAGCAGCAAGGTGCAGATGCTCCAGCCTGAATGCAGTGGGGTTCCTCCACACTCGGACGATGTGCATCACACAAGCACAGAGGGAGGGAAGCAGACCAGGGACTATTCCTAGTCAGCAGTATAGTAAGGTAAAAGGCTACTAAAAAAGAAGACAAAGGGATCCTCGTGAGCTATAATTTGTGTTGGCTCAGAACCTTCCAGGGGGTGGGGGGAGAAAAAAAAGAATGTGTACCAGTCCAGTTCCCTAAACCTACACAATTTTGCTTAAAAAACCCCTTCACGTTCAGGGAGCCACTACTGCCATGGTGATCAGTGTCCTAGCAGGCAACAGGTTTCCTTCTCACAGTCCAGGAACCTGGAGAGCCCATCACACAGCTCCCAAGGCGCTCCTCAGACCTCCTAGACTTTGGGAAGCTCTAGTCAGCAGCCGCTCTGCGGGTTGGAAAAGCTCAGGTTGACGGAAGTCTGCTGGGACCACTGCCCAACCCAGAGCCCCAGGACCACCCCATGGCTGCGGAGAGAGACAGAGGCCAGCATCCCTGATAAACAACCATTCGTTTCAGTCTGCAGCTGCTGTAGGAGATGGCACTGCACCGTTGTGAAACGAAACCAAGTCTGAACATACAGAAATGCCCCACGTACTGGAAATCCCACAATGTCAGTTAGTTTTGGTTCTAAAATTTTGTGCTCCCTCATTCTCCTTTGATTAGATGCGGAAGTAACTGCTGACAAACTACGAATTACTTTCATTATCCCACCACTTCAGATTTTTACGTTCAGTTTCTGGAGCCCTGGATTAAATATTCAGATGCATTCCTAAATTAACATAGTTAAGTGGTATCAGATCAGTCTTCAAGTCACAAAAGCAGGCATATAGATGTTCTCATTAATCAGAAAAGGCAGAGAAGACTTTTTTCCAGTAAAAAGAGAGTATCTCCCTTGGAGGAACCTCAGTCCTTTACTGATAGAAAGCATGAATTATACAAAATAACTATACACTTTAGATATAACAAATCAGATCAAATATTACATTTGAAGACACCACTTCTGTCTTGAAATGTTCCCAGACCACAAATCAGTGAAGGCTGTGAGACTCTGTCCCAGCAAGCCTTTGCCTTGGTCTCATTCTCTCCTGTAGCTATCAGCTATTGATCACTGTCAGGGTGAGGACAGGAGCCAACTGGACCCTCATCCAACCCAGCATGGTCATCATGACACATTTGGGTGTCACACAGCTTAAGGTGCAGCTTGGGCCTTGTGGCTTGATATGACAATATTGGTGAGCATTTGCAACTTTAGATGGGGCAAGAAGAGGCATCTAGAAGCTAAACGGCATATTTGCAAACAAATATTACAGTATCGTAGATATTCAAATTAGTATTGGTTTGTCTCATCAAAAATTAATTACAACCTACCTAACTGCAATTGAAGAAATTAGTTTGGTATAGAAAAGATTAAATATTTAAAGAGCTTGTGATGTAAAAATAATTGAAACCATATCTCCTTGCTTAAATATTATATTTCTTTTCTTTTTACTGCTAGTATGACCATTAAGAAATCAAAACTCCGTATGTGTGTGCACCCATGCAGACACGTACACCACACTCAGCTATATGTTACATGTTCATCTATGCTC